AAGTTAATATTACGATCCAGCTACATGCCAATACAACATTGGGCTTTTTAGCTCCACTGTGATTAGCTAAATTGCACCTATCATGGGTCCAATCTAGATTTAAGTTAATATTTATTTAAAAATTTGCCATTGGAATTAGAAACTACCAAAAATTCATTTTGAGACCACCTACAGTAATACATCTCAGGCCAAAATGAAGTGTGTAGGTGTATCTGATACATTGTGATATAAGCTGCATAATGATTGCCTATCTTTTTCCCGATTCATTTCCCGTATCACCTCACCGCGACATTGTCTCCCGCAAACGGAATTTACCCAAGACGAGTAAATTAGCAATGCCCTCGTTTCACATCTAACGACGATAGCACATAGGGCAGCTTCTATCTCAAGGGCTCGCTGCCACGATTAAGTATACTTCGTCGGACCAAATATGGATGCAAGTATTGACCTCACATCCCGAATTAAATCGTATTGAGTATTTTAAGTACCTTCTCCTTTAGTGCATGGTAGTAGTAAATGTAAAAATAGTTGGTAAGAATTATTAAGCAATGCTCATCCAAAGCGAGATATGAATTATTATTCCTTTTTTTTTCTCGTTAATACGCCAGGCCCTCCTCCCCTCTGTATAATATATATCTGAGAATCTGAGAAATAATGAAAATGACAAGTTTAGATGCATTCCCGCCAAAGTTGAAGGTATGTCTTTTTAGTTTTGCATTAAACGGCTTTTGGCGTGACCACAACTGCAGTTAATGCTGTTGTAAGGTCAATATAAGAAACCTTTTTGCTTGTCCTAAATATTATTGCCAAGGGTCGGATAAATCATCCCCCTTATATTTATCAAGAGGATCTCACACACAATATTTTGAGTCGGGAGGAGATTTGATGATAAACTATGAATTCGATTCCCAAATAGTGCCCCTTAATGGCGATTCCCGCTTTCTATAACCACCACGGTATACTGATTTACATGTGTAAGTCATTCGGGAAGTCATTACACATGCAAGCCAACAAAGATTGCACGAGATGCCAGAAACTTATCAATATGATTTTGCGTGTCAAGTATGAAGCGCAATGCATGCGGATTTTGCGTAATTTCCCCGTCCCCGTCAAACGCAAACTTTACACGAAGGCATACACCTAAATATAGAAGGGTTTGTTTGTTTGTTTGTTTATTTGTTTGTTTGTTTGTTTATTTTATTTTAGCACGGTCGCATACTTCAGCCAATGGCTGTTCTTCAGCATGGCCGTACATACAAAAAGCAAACACAATTTTACACAAAAAAATACATTAGAGATTAACAAGATATACATGCAAAGTTAAATTAAACATACTTATATACAAATCGGTTAAAAGGCGAGAAATCCAAACAAGCCCTAATTTAGAAAAAGATAGGAAGAAAAAAAATAGAAGAGTAACAAATCAGTTGATTTGGTTTAGACCACTCTATATCCTAAAAGGCAAGTCGCTTTAAGCTATTACAGCCCCTTTTCTTCTTATTTCTTTGTTTAGTATGAGGCGCATTATAAATGTGAGCTATTATTATTATGATTATTTCTTGATTAGTGGAACTATACAAGTTCTGGAGAATTAGAAGTTATGCACTGATAATTTTGATGTACATGCATTTTTCGAAAAAGTGAATGGCGGATTATTTTAGACTTTTTCAGAGACATAATATCACCGTTAAAAAAATGACTGAAAATGGTTTAAAGAAATGTTATTTAAGGAAGAGAAGGGGCGTAAAAATCTTTTCTCGAAACAAAGTTTTTATGTCTGTTTATGTACCAAAGTAAATGTTTGTATATTGTATCTCAATGATTAGTTCATAAATTGGTTCAAGATAATGCGTCGTGCTATAAGTTTGTATATCTATGGGATGTGACTCTTATATTATTCATCGGTTTCAGATGCAAGTGTAAGGTGTACTTGTGTTGGCGTGAAACCAATTTCCACGTCTTAAACTTAATATGTTGTTAGACCGTAATATTCGGGGAATGTGATATTTCGATATGCATAACCTGAATACGAGTTTCATCTTGACTCATCGTATTTCAAAGAAAAAACATGGTTCAGATTCTGATATTCTTTCCAGATGTTACTTCCTTCATTTTCGGCAATGGCCGTGGTGAAAATGTCAGCCCGAGTTGTCAACAATTCGTCAAAAAGTAGGAGCCCTACCACTAATATCGTCATAAATTCGCCACAGTCATGCTGCGCTTAATTTCCCTCTCCCTATACTAGACTGGAGAGTGGTTTGCTCGAAACACCTTTGTCAGTCGCTGTGCGTAACAGTGTCTGCACAGTGAGACTATGTTGAAGGCATATTGCATGTACTCTGTACTCTATAGCTGCTCCGGACTTTCTGACACATCCAAAGACTCATGCTGATGGGCTTTGCTCAAGGCTTTAGGAATTTTGGTAAAGTGTCGAATTCGAGTCTGTTCCTGCAGACTATCTGTAGAATGTATCTAATCTGTCAGTATGATACGAGACGGCGTGGTGTTAGTTTAGCTTGATGATAATTTCTAGAGTAGGGGTATACGTGGAGCCTGAGTATATTTGTGTAGGAAACATACCGAGTGGCTGGCGATGATCTAGTCTTTTGCCTACGAACATTATGTCATCTATTCATTATATACAACACGATCTTGGTCCCGAACCGTGCTTAGTAATACTACACCATCATCAAACAAGGCGGAGTTCTTAATAACAGAATGATGTATATTTACTGAGACAAATTCGCCATTCAAACTTCGTTTGACGTCAAAAGCTGGTCAGGTTTTGAAACGTATCTCAATTGAAAGAGTTGCTTTTTGCAGACTAAGTGCTTGCGGGTCGAGACCGCTGCATTAGAAGCACATTAATGTACACAGGGGGTGAGTATGGAGGAACCATGTTCAAACAATCGGTCAGATCCAACTCTTATCCCCGCGTCGTGAATAATTACATTTTCCGCGAAAAGAAAACCGCGTGCCTGCCCGCTGATAGCAATCTACCACTCTTTACATAAAATAGAAACATGGCAGGCAGTGATTGAGTGTCAGAACCCTTTTCAAAATACCACTAAGGAGGCTCATATAAGGCGTGGGCTACTTTATTATTATGAATTATTTAATTTTGATACCTTGAATACTTATTTCTTTGAAATGCAGTTAGAAGGGCACTGATGAACTCAATTAGTCTGACGCTATTTATATTCATTCCATCCGCTTAATTCCTTGATGAATACATTTTGTCGTTTCTTGAAGGCCGCATGGCAGCTAGGCGAGGTTTGAATATTCTCTATCGGTTGTAATCCATCGATAAAGCTTTTGACTTGCGGCCACGTTCGGGATAATTTTTCAGGTCATAAATTAGCCGTCTGCGACCACCAACGTCTTGTGATTTACGATGGGGATTGTGACGGCTTCTTTTCCCGCCCTTTTCCTTGCTATCGTCTGCTTGACGATGGGCTTCTAATTCGCTTACTGTCATCAGCGGTTCTGATTTATAATCCCAGAAATTGTAATCTTATCTCGGATACTTACACTCCTAGCGACAGCCGGCGATGGTTTTATAGTGTATTATCATAGCATTTCCCATCGGCTCTATGCGTGGGTGAATATCTCATAATAATTACGATGATAAACAACATGGCGCCGGGAACGCTATAAAGGCTACCAAGAACTGTGCAAAAACTACCAACAGTCAGTAATAAATCTGAAAATGAAATGCATTTATCTTAATAATTTCTCGAATGTCCTTTGTGCCCCTCCCCTCTTCAATGGTTGCGTTGAATATCATTTGTTTTAAAACTTGTTTGAAAATAAGACTGAACAACTCTACGCTTTACCCTCATCTAGATGCTGAACAGGCGTTGATGAGTATTACCATAAAAGTAGAATACCAGTATTAAATTCACATAGAAAAAATTCACAACGTTAAATCAAGCCCAACTCTGAATACATTTAAAAGAAGATACAAACAATTACGTTTTTGTGAATAGTATTTTATTAGTTTTTATAATATATGCAATCAGGTTTTAGATGTTAGGTGTTAGTTGTTATGTGTTAGGTGTTAAGTGTTATAGGTTAAAATTGTCGCTAGGGACCAGCCCCACACAAGACTTAAATGTTCTTTCTTGCTGGTTCCTCATTCGTATATATATTTGTATTTTATGTTTGTCTTTCGTTATGTTATTTGTATGTACTTTACTTATCTGTAAATATCAATGTTTTAATCATGTATGTTTTTTATATGACGAATGAAATAAAATGAAATGAAATGAAACATAGTATACAATCATATGCTCAATCATTAATTTTGTGAAATGATCTGATCATTTTACGTGGATGAACGACATCAGTTTAACCAATATACGTGTCACACAACTAGCGCCCTTTCTTTGTTTTTACTTCCACGTGACCATTGATCATAAGACGAAAATACTATTCGTTTAATGGTTGCGCCAGGTTTTTTTTTTTGGGGGGGGGGATTAGAAAATAACTTTCACCCCAGATGAAAATGGGACAAATTAATGCAATGTATTTTTAAGTAATCAAATGGCTAAATTCACCATTAACAGATTGGAAACCAGTCTGTATGTTGATCAAAAATGTTGATTTTTATGTAGCTCGATCATTGTAAGCGCCTTGAGCACCCTCTGGGTGGATATGTCGCGCTATAAAAATGTCTTTATTATTATTATTATTATTGAAATGTATACTCAATGTAGTAGGTTATTAGATGTAATTATATAGGCCTACATTGCTTACGTTTGTGTGTAATTTAAAAAATACATTTGGATGCTAACATCAATCCTCATAGTCATGTTTAGCAAATATTCAATATCCAGCTTTTGTTTTCTTCTGCATTTCTTTCATTTAAGAATTTTTATAGAACCGACATGTGAAATAGTTTTTTTTTTTATCAATTTAGTTTTCTAGTTAATGTGTTTGATAATAAATGTTGAGCAATAGTACTGTATTTGATTTCCTTGACTGTTTTTCTCTCTCACTCCGTTCGAGTATTTCATCTTAGCGACAATCATAGCCAACTGTGTAGTGTTAGCATTGGATACACATCTCCCTAAAGAAGACAAAACGCCCAGGTCAATAGCATTGGTAAGTTCGGGATCGGAAATTCTGACTCAATTTGATTTAATTTGATTTGATTTAATGTTTATCTAATTGATTTTGTTTAATGTGAGTTGAGTTGAGTTTGGTTAAAATGTGATTAATTGGATCTAATCCGATCTTATTTGATTAATTGATAGATTTCATTTTATTTTATTCAATATGTGATTTTTCACGATAAGATTAGCGCCAGAACACCGCTGATTCCCTGAAGTTATCATACACTCATCAACATGCATTTACATCTAAACAAAGTATTTGAAAGCTGGATATTGAAAAAGCCATATGATAAAAAATGAAAAGAAGCAAAATCAGAGCACAAAATATGTATAGCTCTCTTGAGATTATGCACAACAAATTGAAGTTTTAGAAGACCGTGCCAAACTTTTTGGGGCAAATATATATTTATACTCTCACCGAGTTTTTCAACTAATGGTAATCCTTGTCATTGACATTATGGTTATGAAACTATAATCATTTCTCCCACATTTCTTTTTAGGGCGTTGTATTACACCATTGTTTGCGTGGAGTGTTACAAAATAGAAACTTGGCTATTTCTGTTTTTGTATGCGTGTCTGCCGAAGAGGCATTATTGGTTTATTATTCAAATTAGTTTAGCTGTCAAATAATATAAACCGCGTAGATCTAGGGATTTCCCCCTCCTAATGTAAAACAACATAACCACAAGAAATTCTTAGCCGCTGGCCTTCTTAAATCAAGGATATGCGCTTAGGGAACAACATTAAGTGCTTAAGGATAATTTAGTTTCTTTAGTTTCTCTTCTCTGACAATAATTAATGGTGCAATAAAAAACAACATTTTATACATTTCTAAGGTCAGGGTAAATTTATGATGGTGTAAGATGTCTCTTCGGTTGATTGATTGATTGATTGATTTTATTCGTCAAGTATAGTACATTGAATGCAATACATAAAGCAAATGGAACGAGAAGATACATTGACAGGATAACCCATGAAAGCCGGAAAGTTGGAAAGACAAACGCCCTTTCCTTATTCTAATTCAAGATTTTAAGGCTCTCTTTAAAACATGAACTTCCTTTTCCACTTCTAACAGAATCCAGGGGCCTACTTGCCATTTTTCGACAATAGTTGACTCGAGGGCCGGTCGATTAGTAGATATTAAACAGAAAACCTTTTCACAATGGAATGATTGCACAGCCATTACATCTAGTATACACAGATATAACACCATTGTTAATACATGGACACTGTGGCGAGCAATATGTTAAAAGGAAACATAACCGTCCTTCTTAATATCCATGTATAATTATAATTCATCTACACAAATACCATGAGAGGATAGACAGAAATGTATATACTGTTCATTACAATCATACCCTGAAGGCATTCTTAGTGTATGAAGGAATGGCTTCATTCTAAGATATTCAAATCCATGCACTTGCCCGCTTAACCCATCTCAGATACAAATCAACACGAAATCCTTCCTGACGCCGAATGGACATGTTCCTTTCTAATCAGTCTGTGTTGGCTAAGTCGAGGGATGGAGGCGATACGATTGACTGTCATAAACTTACATATATTTTAAGTGATTTATTCAGTGATCTGTAGAGCATTGTAAGATTCCTCCGCCCCCTGTATTTTATTTTCTTGCTGAATTTTGTATCACTAAACTAAATGCAGGGTTATTGAATTAGTATTGTAGACGGTTGAAGAAACTGAGACGTATATTATGAATTGATTATGGGAAAACCCATTTTCTTACTACCATTTTATCCGTTTGCCCCTTTCGTTTATCTTTTCATCGTTCCTCTCCTCTTCAAACCCGTATATTTATTATTCTTTTCATATTGTAATATTACATCTTGTTTCGTCTATTTCTATTTCTTATTTTTATATTTTCTTGTCAACATGTTTTCACTCCTTGAACCCGTACTCGTCTCCTTCCTTTCCGTTTCCATTATCTCCAAATTTGGCTCCTTTATTTTTTCCATTTTCTTCAGCTTATTATTCTCCTCATTTTATTCACATTATTGAAACGTTCTTCTCCTTCACAAACCCCTTTTCATCATATTTTCATCCTCCTCCCACCTTTTAGCGACTCCTTTCACTCTAACCCTATAATCATTTTCTTCAAAATTCATTCCATCGCCTCCACCATAGCCTTTTGACACAATGTACGGTATATATATATATATAAAAACCGTGCTGAAAAAAAAAAAATCAATATAATTCTCATTTTTATCAATACAAGTATATTCTGAAATGCAGGTTGGTATCTGTAAAATACTGGAGACTCTTTTCTTCTCAATCCAGATTGTCAACAATCAACATAATACCTTCCTCCCCAGGTCTCAGATCTTGAAGAAAAAACACAGAAATCCCTTCAAGGTTTTGTCCTTACAGGCAATATATTCAATTCAGCAAAATCTCCTTTTTTCTTTAATACCAAAGGCATTATATAGCTGCGAGTCTCCGAGTGAGATAATATGCATTGACGTCAATTACCTGTCCGTTAGAGATATAAAACCAAAATATTTTCCCTTTTTTGGTATCTCTGTGATTTTGTTTTGATTGAATGTGGTTAGAATTGCAATATTTAAAAAAGAAAATGGACATACATGTTTTTCAATTATTTGTTCAAATTACTGTGGTTATAATAACCGTCTTCTCAGCTGTTTGTGTATCGATAAAAAAGTCATTCGAAAAGAAAAAAGCCGGAAAAAAATAAAGATTTTTTATCGGCTTTTGCTTACATCTATCTTAAATGCAAGTTAAAAAAACAACTGCTAGGCTCTAATATCCATTCACATTTTTGTCCCATTTCCCCAAAGGAGGGGCCTATCATTATTAAAAAGAGACTTTACCCAGGTCACTTAAAAATGTAACGAATGTTTTCCACTGTTTTGTTCTGCACTCTTTTTGTGTGGGCTTATGAAGCAAGTTAAATCATGTTGTGCTGTCGGAAAAAAGAGAAAAACAAAATCAGTAGCCTTGTCCATCAGCTTTTAAAATGTGCGAACAATACTATTATTTACTACGTAGTTCGAAAATGATCTCAAAGGGATACAACTGGGTATTGAAACTGCACCATTTAATTTCTCTAAAGTCTATAAGATCGTGTTTGTTGTTGATAATTTTGATAATACCTCAGACAAATTTTCCACAAATTATAAACAGTAGACATAATTTTATGACGAGAACCGTTGACTATTTGGTATACTTTAAAGCCCCATTGCACTACTTATAGCTACTTGTACCCTCTATGTAGCAAACAATGCCTAATCGATGACCATTGGTCCCCACTGATCCCCCTTTTCTTGTTAATTGAGAGCTTATTTGATGAGATAACCACCTGTCAGTGACCATGCAGGGAGGTCTAATCCCTCCTGGCCAAACTAGTGCAGGCAGGCTAAAACAAATACATGTAGGCCTATTGTGTTTTGTTTGATTTTGACGCACATTAATGTTTTTTCCCCTTTATTTCCACCATGCAGGAGGACACTGAAATATACTTCCTCGCCATTTTCTGCTTGGAAGCAGGGATCAAAATCATAGCTCTGGGTTTCTTACTACATGAAGAATCGTATCTACGGAACGGTTGGAACATTATGGATTTCATTGTCGTAGTCACAGGGTAGGTTTCATGAAGTTTTATTGTTTTTGTCAATAATTTTGATATCAGTATATATATTAGTCCTCCTTTTTTTAGGGGACTACTGATATTAATTGACAAAGGAAGAAGCAGGCGGAAAAGTCTTCGTGAAAAAAATGATAATTGTCATTTTCTTACCGTCATCATTTTAACATTTGGCATTCCATAAGCTTGTGCACCTGTACCTGTCGTGTCGTCTGTTGTACCCTCGAAAGGATCAGAATATTTTTTCCAAAGTTAATTTCACATTTTGTGAATTCAGAGAATGATGGAGATCCATTTTTGCATTGAGTTCATAATAAACCGTGTTATACCTCGGACTGGTATGGGATGACATTTTTGGGGAAGGATCTTCGTTCCAAATTTACCGAATCTTGTTGCCATGCCCGTGATGGAGCTGAAAAGATGATAGGGCCGCTGACAAGAAGATCGCGGGCGTGGAGCGGGCTGGGCCTGTGCATGTTTCGGCGCAAATGTGTCCCCATGAAGTTAGTATGCCATTCTGTGAATTAAAGATAATACAAAGTTTTAGGAAATTTTGAAAATTGGGTGGATATTGATTCTTTACAATTGGGATGCCTCTGTGGATGTATTATAACCACTAGAAAATTAAGCCCCTAAAACACTTCTGCTTTCGAGAACAATTGAATATAAAAACTTACTGATGCTCCCAGTAAATTTTGATGAGTTTCAAATAGCACCGACGGCCGTACAATGGTAGCTGCGACCATGACAATGTCAGAATATGTAGTTGTGATATATAATTTCCAACAAGAATAGCTAATCTGTTGATTTTAGTCATGAAACATTGTTTTATAGCTTAATTAATATCTTTATATAGTTTATTATTTACAATTTCATAACTTTAGACTCGATTTCAACCGCGTCAACGATAACTGAATATTATAGGATTGCAAATTCATTACCTCGTACCAAAACTTTGTATTACCTTTAAGAATAACTTTGTGGATCACTCATTGATAACGAATTTAACAACACGCAAATATTCCAAGCAAGTAATGTGTCGTGTTGAAATCACTGAGGCTGTTCACATCGGCAGAGAAAGCGCGGTCTAGCGCACGCTAGACCACGCTATCTCTGCGGTGTGGAAGGTACAACGTCGTTTCGGTCCGCCCTACAGCGAGCCAAAACGGCGTGCCACCTCATGACGTCACGCGTCATGGCAACAGGACCTCTCAAAAAAGGGGGTGCTACGATAGACCGCGCTATCTCATTGCGGTGTGAACAGCCTCACTGAGGCCTAGATCTACTTAAGCCCCATTTTCTTAAATCCTTGATCCGCGATAATATTGGTTTAGACTGATTGACCAGACTGACTCTGACAGTGACACTTGCACAGGTCTAGCTGTTTTAAAAGAATAGACATGCATTTCGAAATTTTGACTTAATTTTCATTTTTAATAAAGGAGCATTTTTCTGGAAATTTGTTTCCTTCCTTCACTCTTGTTTTCATCTTTATTTCATCTTTATTTCATATCGTTCTTTAAGTAACTTTCACTTTGGATTTTTATCATGCTTCATGGTTGTGCTGCTTTCTAAATAAACAGCATAGCTGCCGTAATAGAGCCTTCACTGGATCAACCCGCTATACGATCTATGCGGGTTTTGAGACCACTTAAGTTGGTCTCAAACGTTCCTAGTGAGTAGTCCTGGTCTAGTCTTCTTGGTCTTGGAATTGTCATATTCTGGACGTTGAACCAGCTATTTGTCTAATCTTTGTCAAATGGTTGTATTAAAATCCCAAGTTCTAATGACGTTAAAATGTATTAAATATGTTAATTTCACTATTTTAACATGCTGATGTGATAGATAATAAATTTGTAATTATTTGTCCTTTTATATATTGTAGAGGTTAAAAGGAATTCAGGTGTATCTGTGTATTTTATGCCATAGTTTTTTAATTAATTACCAGGTAATGCAAATAACATTAGGTATTCAACCTTTTTCTTATGAAATCATTTTATTTCAACAAGATCTTCAAATCTGAGTTAGAGAAAATGATGTTAAAATTTGAGAGAAAATCTTTTAAAAAGACTGAGGAAAAAAAAATAATATGAAAGACTAATTACTAACAATCTTGATGTTCATCAATTCAATTCACAGGTATATTGTATACTTAAGATTATTGCAGTGTATTTTCAAATGTGAATATTGAATGTGTACCCAATCTTTTTTTATGTTTTGTGTTATATTATCATTTTCAATTCATAAATAATTGTATGTGATCAAAGGGAACACAAATTGTCGTAGGAATTTTACTCCTTAATCCTATGTTCATTATTCAGTACAGTCTTAACATATGTTGTTTGTACCTTCCAAAATATATGTTTGTATTTAATGTATGTTTGATGGATCTAAACTTGAACTGTGTTTGTATAATAACTTGATAAAGATGTAATTGTATTGTAAAAATGCATACATACAAATTGAGCTATTCAGGACAAAATGGTCTTAGTTATAATAACTCAATATATATATATATTTGTATAGCAAAAATGCATCATACAAATTGAGCTATTTAGGACCAAATGGTCTTCAGTTAATAATTTGTATTGAGAATATCTTGCTTTTTTTATCAACTAGAAACACAATTTCAGACACTGAATATGAGTTGATGCTGATACTGTTCATATACCTACATATTATCCTTTAAAATTACTATGAGCTTGTGACCATGACTATTTTCTAACTTGACTGTTGTAATAACCATGATGCTGATTATGATGTGTTTGTGAACTTGTGTTTGATATTCCAGTACTGTGTCAGTAGTAGAAGCGAGTAATGCTACTCAATCTGGTGGGTTTGATCTGAGGACTCTACGAGCAGTCAGGGTGTTGCGACCCCTCAAACTAGTGTCTGGTATCCCAAGTAAGTTACTTCACTAACCCCCTTCAAAGATGATGCACAGTGTTGGCTCACAGTGTTGGCTAACCCTTTGACAGCTTTGGTTGACCAATGACACAAACATCGGAGTGCCACAAATTATATTTGTAACATATAAAGTGTATATATGTATCATTGATACACTCTCAAACAATGTTGGGGTCTGAGATTTCAAAGTCAGTGGTCCTTATTCTACTAAGGTAGCTAGGTGAAATGTGGCATGAAAAGAAGCGTCTAGAACGCTCACAGAAAGGCATGATAGTCAGGGATGTTTGTTAATTAAAAGTTCTCTGGTGACATCAAGCTCCTGAACATAACAATGTGGTTCTACGATAAAACAAACAAATAGAGATTTTTCTGGCCAGTCAGATGGTGTACATGTAGACCATGTTGTCTTATAGCTCTAGGTGCTTATTGAAGGAACCTTCCATTTTGGTCTTTGACCATTTCGGTCAGGAAAACACATTTATACCATGACCTGAACCAACACTATGCATTAGCTTATAAGGTATCTACTATTTAACATGTTGGCATGCTTGTGTAAGTAGAGGAATTATGTATTACTTTAATAGTAGTCAAGTGTAAGACAAGTATAAAAAATGTTTATCAGATGTTTTTCAAGAGAGGTTTTTAGTGATCAATGTACACCTTAATATTTATTTTCAATTAAAAAAATATTAGAACAGTGGTAAATATTTTCAAATTATAGATATCTTCAAAATTACAGGATAAATATCAAAGAAAGTCCACATTCAATATTCAACATAATTTCTTAAATAAGTAGTGTAACAAAATTATAGACCCTGTATTGCAATAGGCATGCTGTGTATGAATTTTGGTCAGGGCTTCATAGTCATTACAAGTATGTGCATTCTTAACAAGTTAATAGCTTACACAATGGTGAAAAAAGGTAAGTGTACTGTATAATTGAATGGTGCTTGGAATTTTATTTATAAGCAAATTATGTTGGAAGGTAGTAACTACACTGTACTTTGATACAGAGTAGAATAAAACAAACAAAACTTTTATATATATTTATGTTTATCCCCTTTAATGACAGTTAGCACAATGCAACATTGTACATTTTATATATGCCTGAGCTTAAAAATTTAATATAGTATGACGACATCAAGCTACTTACTATACAGAACTATATGCTTTGGTGATTGGTACACTTTAATGACATATATTTTTATTTTGCTGATGAATAAACTTTTACTGTTCAAATTGGCGACACTGATTTTTCTGACTTTGTAAATTGTCCTAAGATGAGTACAGAAATGTAGATTCTTGTATTTTCTTATTTGAAGGGGACCATACTCATATCCAATATATCTTTCCTTCCACAGGTCTCCAAGTTGTTTTGAAATCCATCATCAGAGCAATGGCCCCTCTCCTTCAAATCACTCTCCTCATTCTCTTTGTAATCATCATCTTCGCCATCACCGGTATGGAGTTTTTCATGGGAAAATTCCACCAAACTTGCTATGTATTCGACCCAATTTCAGGCAGTAAGTATTCTTTACCATTCATTTTGTGTGCGGAACGTACACTGTAAACCAACAAATGTTGCGAAAGTTTCATCCCACAAAATGATTAAATTACTACATCGAAGCTCACAACTTCCATGCAGTGAAATGGCCTCTGTTGATAATTTGCAAAATTTCAAGTTGGAATTTCTTTTGTTTACAGCATTTGCTTCTTGAGCATGCCACATGAAAAGATAATGTATATTGCACTGTATAAATATCAATATACCAATATCAATTTCACACACACAAGTTTCGTTGCTATTAAACTGTCTTTTTAAATGCACTGGACAAAATAAGATGCTCATGCAAATTGACAGGTATTATTGCATATATGATTTTTTTTTAAACGATTGCATGCTGTATTGGGATACTTCTTAATTCTTACACTTGTTAAAGATGCTTTATATAATCTTTTAATATCATCTTTATCATTGCAATTTACATTACTTAACCATTTCAGATGAAACGCGGGAGATAGCGGAGGATAATCCTCAAGTGTGTGGCTACAGGCAATGTGGAGACTTTGAAAATTGCACCGGATACTGGGATGGACCAAATTTTGGAATAACAAACTTTGACAACATGCTGTATGCTATGTTAACTGTGTTCCAATGCATTACCATGGAAGGATGGACAGATATCATGTATAACGTAAGTAGTGCCGAGACAACGCCTTATATATGGATGGAATCATATGCGTATTAGTAGAGGAGAATCACTTTTTTTGTAAGGATGGGCAGAGTATATAGGTAAGTATTAGATTGGATGTATCGATCCCACCGCTGCCACCAAAATAACGCCCGATGTCAAATGAAGGATATCAGTGATGCTTATCTGCCATTTCTCGGTGTGTCTTCAAGTCTCCTGACTTAAGCAGTGCACATCGGTATGGTATCCTCCAGTATACAGTTAAATATAAAAAAAATCAGGTCAAACTCTATAAGGTAGACGAACGATATACATGTAGGCCTAGAGACATGTGTAGGTATTGCTGTTTCTGATTTGTTTCTGAGACGTATCTGATTTTGTTTAATTAAAACACGATTTCAAAGTTTTTAAAGAATTACCTATTCTGCAAATTTGATACCTTGCTGCATTATCTGTAAACATTAAGCCATTGTAATGTTTATGCAGTTTGATTACATGTACATGTATGTAGATGATGCACTACATGTAGGCTATAGCAGTTGCTTTTTTATTTATCTCTTCAATACCTTCACATTTGTATGTATTATGATGAAGGATTGATGATTTTTTTTTTTTAGTTTGCGTAATATTGGCTGGGAATCTTTAAAAGAAATATGGATTTAGTGTAATGTAGGTACAGTTTGTGTTCATTATTGTTGCAGTAATAAAGTGGTTAGGTGAAAAGAACATTATTGGAAAATCTTGAAAATTATAATCATTGATTTTGTCAAAGGAGGGGGAACGTAACATTGAAATTACATCAGTGTTGCTTGTTGAAGAGTATTAGCTGTCTCATTTGATGTGCCCATTATTTTTACAGTAAAGAAAACATATTATTGAATTGAATATATCTGTAAAAACTATTTATAAAGATTTGGAAATGTGCTATTGGATCCAAAGTCAGTATTTCAAAATATTTGGTTCAGTTTTTTTACAAGAACTTTCAACGAATGCATCCATGATGAAAAAATTAAAAGAAGAGAGTATGTTGCCCCTTTGAGCTGCAATGTCCTTATCTATGATTGGGAATGTACATTAGGTAGCTTCGAGAAATGTAGTGGCATGAAGGGGCGCATCCAGAACGCAAAAAGCATAATAATGTTAGTTAAAAGTTCTTTTTTGACATATATCTCAATGAAAGTCTAGCTAACATTAAGCCTAATTGAGATAGTATATGTATTTAATTACCAGCTCCATAACCTCCAAAACGATGTGGTTCTGACTTTATGTGATATACCGATAATGACTAATTTCAACAATTATGCCTTACAGTATGCGTTCTTGACAGATCTTTTCCTACCACTACATTTTTCTATGATTTCGCTAAGCTACAATGTACCTTTATAGTGACTTGTATACATGCTGTTGCACTGCATGGAGCCTTCCCATTAGCAATCCTTTTCACAGTGATACCGTAGCCACCAGTAGCTTCCCACCTACATGTTTATCTTGATGAGATTTGCTCTGTGTAAGTGGAAGATACCTGGAATGCCTTACAGAGGATAAACATTGATTCAGTTTGCACATGTAGTAGCCGTTGTGTGGTAAGCGATGTCCTTTGCAGCTGACTTGTCATCTCTAACGGTGGGAACTGTCAACTGAAAATGTCAGTCAAGGGAACACATTGAAGGTGAACCGTCATGCCTCGGTCAATGAGTGATGTTTAGGATGATGAGTGCCTTAACCCTTGAAACACCAGCTGGGGGGTGTTTCATAAAGCTGTTCGTAAAGTTACGCATGACTTTACGGACGACTTGTATATGAAGTGCCAGATAGGATGCCCAAAGTTTTTTCTGATATTTTCAATAACCTCAATTAAATTATGGCAAAAAATATACTTTACATTAAAAATGTTTTTTTATCATAAGAATGTTAATCTACATCTGCACAGTTCAACTTTAGTTGATGTATTTAATAATGATTGAGTATCCATATACAAGTCGTTCGTAAAGTCATGCGTAACTTTACGAACAGCTTTATGAAACACCCCCCAGATAGCAAATTTGTGTCTTGATTAAGTTTGCTACAAATGACACAACATGCAGGAAAAGAATTTCAGTTTTGTTGATGTAGTTTGGGCAGTGGTATATTTTGAAAGAAGAATGCACTACTTTTCTTCAGTTTGTTTTGATACATACCAGTACACAACTTCTTAGACGTTACTTGTACACTTATTGAGAGTGTATTACTTTAAGGAAATAATAACTGTGTTGATTTATTTTAATTAGTGAATCTGCATTTGGCCCCCTTCTTCCTGTACGATGAACATGTAGAACAGATATTTTGTTTTAATTGTTCTCTTGTTAAACAGACTTTTCATAGAAATGTTTAGTTTGAAAATGTTGGGCAGAGAACAACTTGACTTTCTTATTATGTTTTATATGCCTGTTAACTTTCTGGTTCAGCAAGAATCAATTATAACACTTGGGTCACTATCCACAGTTTCCCCCTTGAATACTAAGTTTGGGATCATTTGGGCTGGAGTCTGTGTAAAATATGTGTTATATCGAACCCACATTGTAGTCCGAAAGGGCTCGTTATCAATGTTATTTACATTAATTAAAAATAGTAAAGTATTGCAAACTGTATTGTCACTATTCCTGAATAATTGATGAATGGATTGAAAACCCAAGCAATTGTTATTAAAATTTTCCCCAGAGGGAAAGAACGTACCAAATACCAGCATCTGTTAACAATGCAAAACATGTATTTTCAATATTGTCTGTTTGGAGACATATAAGGGTTTCAAAGTTCTATTAGTTTACAATGATTTAATGCCCTTCTGGCTCCAAAAAGACGATATATATGATATGTCAACTATAAATTGATGGAAGTAACAGTTGTTGAATAATATGAGTGTCAATAGGGCACGAAATCATGGCATTGGGGCTCTCTTTAGACAAATTGGTCATGTGATGGGACCTATTTTCTCATTATTTGACATTCCTTTGTTTGATGATTATGTATTCCATAGGCAAATTTGGTGATCTACAATCTTTGTACATGAAAGCGTACATGTATTTTGTATAATATCTTTCTTTTTAATTAATAGTGAACAAAATGAATTAGCTATGTGATACACCTTTTGCTCCTTTTCTATTTACTTTTTACTTTACTTTTACTTTCCTTTTACTTTCCTTCCTTCGACCTTCGTTCTTTCTCATTTTCTCTCTCTCTCTCTCTCTGTTTCTCATTTCATTTCGCATCCACTTTATGATATTCTTTTTCTCTTCACCTGTCTTTTTCTCCCTTCTTTCATTCTTGCTCTTGTTCTCTCTCTCTCTCTCTATCTTCCCCTCTCTCTCTCTCTCTCTCTCTCTCTCCCTTTACCTTTCTCTTCTCACTTTACCTTTATTTTTCAACTTTTTTTTTCTTTCTTTAGTGCAATGACTCAGAGGGTCCTCAGTTTGTCTGGGTCTACTTCATTCCACTCATCATTCTGGGTTCATTCTTCATGCTCAATCTCGTTCTTGGAGTTCTCAGTGGGTAAGTTCATCATGTGCACCATCTCCATGTCTCGTCATTTGGGGGAATTTAGACCTATTTTTTCACTCAATTCTCAATTGAATTCTCCTCCAAACTTTATTTGGTTGGAACCCTAAATAGCCATATAATGCTCCCTACACATTGGCATGGTTGACCAATGCAGGCCAAAAATAAAAGAAGATGTGTTATATCCCCTTTTTTTTTGTTCTCTCAAACTTCAGACAGTGCTATAAAATTATTTTAAACTCCCTTTGCTAAAATACTTATATAATGCTCATTAAAATTTGACTATAAACCTTATTTCTTTGTTGATTATGCATACAGCAAATAACCTTTTTTCTTAGGTTCAAGATATTCATGCACGTTGGTTTAATACTAAATTTACTATGTATACAAAAAACACCCCAAAATGAGTTATCACACTCATATTTAGGTATGGACTAAGGTAGAAAATGTATAGTGCACAGTGCTTATATTTTATGTAAACGCCCTATAATAATGCATAGCCCTTGTCTTTCCAAGGTGCTGGTTATGTTCAATAAGTGTTAATAGTAATCCTGCTAGACTAATGCAAGTATACTGTCTTCCATGTTTATGATGATCGCATCAGACATGCTTACGTTGGAGCATGCACTGCAGATGCACTCGAGCATTAGCCATAGAAAGGGGCCCTTTTCAAGGCAGCTATAGTGCACAATGAATGAATGCAATTCCAATAGCTTGCAACGTACGTGTACATCATTGCGAAAATCCATTTATCATTCTGTCTTTTGCATAATTTTGTCCCTTTCTTATTGGATGGAGTTGATTGGTGTTTCTCTTTTCATTGAATCAATTATTACTCTTATTAAATTCATGATAGTAATCTTTTTTGTGGAAGTTTGTGTTTATTCACTTGGAGAAGGAAATTCAAATTCTGTTCATACTAGTCATTCCCTTGTAAAATACTTTGAAATATTTGACGAAAATAATGTAAAATATATTCAATTTTGGAGCAGGAGATAAAAACCATCCATAAATTTCATGTGTAGGCATGAAGTAACTACTTTATCTGACAGAAAAAGGGGTCTATCTTTTTATCCCTTCATATTCAGATTTCAGAGACCTCACATGTCAATTTTTTTTTTACATGAAACATAATTACTACTACTGCTGCTACTACAACAATTACTATTCTACTACTACTACTACTACTACTACTACTACTACTACTACTACTACTAATATTACTACTAATATTACTACTACTACTACTACTACTACTACTACCACTACCACTACTACTACTGCTCTACTACTACTACTTCTACTACTACTACGACAACTACTACTACTACTTCTACTACTACCTCTTCTACTACTTCCTCTACTACTACTACTACTACTTCTCTACTACTTCTACTTCTGTTACTGCTACTACTACTACTACTGCTGCTCTACTACTACTACTACTATTACTGCTACTTCTGCAACTATTGCTTCTACTACTATTATTATTATTACTCCTAATATTATTGTGTCTGTCCTAAACAGAGAATTTGCGAAAGAAAGAGAGCGAGTGGAGAACAGAAGAGCGTTCTTGAAACTGCGAAGACAACAGCAGATAGACAAAGAGCTGATGGGATACCTAGAGTGGATATGTAAAGCAGAGGAAGTTATGCTCAATGATAAATCAATATCTGAAGAAGAACGGGAAGCAATTGAAGGTAGGCTAAATAACCGCCCTACCCCTCGCTTGATGTTATCTTTTGTAACAAACAGAGAGAACACATTGTTTTCTGTGCAGGTTTTTTGTTCGGTGTCATATTTATCTCCGTAGAGCTATAAAAGTTTTAGCTATTGCAGCTTTAACTCTTTAGCTTTTTTCAATCACAGAAAGAAAACATTGTGTATTGTGCAGGTTCAACAAATTTGGTTGTTTTCTGTTCAAGAGATATTTTATCTCTGCGGAGCTATAAGGGCTTTACCTCTTGCAAGGTATGAGTAAACGCCTTGTGGCTCTGATTATTCAGAAAACATGGTCAACAGTATTATCTTTATTTGAAGCAATCATGAAATGAACTTACATTTCTAAGTGAGTTTATAAAGGAAGAAATTTATTCTGAACCTTTCCTTTTATGATATCTCTAAAAATTAACAAACAAAATTGTGACAAAGCTTCATAGCTGCTTTTTTGTTGAATACGTTTGGACGATTTTAATTTGAGGAGACCAAATCAAAACTTTGACTTTCACATAAATCAATGTTTTGAACTGTTTACATCTGTTTATTCTGCATTTACATATTTTGCTCCTATCTTTGTTGCATTAAATGTACAGTTTGTGAATGTTGCAAAGAATAATCAATGTACATGTAGATCTTATTTTTGAATCATGAATGGACATAATAATAGAGCATGCTTTTTATTTGATAACGCAGTGTACTGTAATTTTGAAGTAATGATGTGAAGTGTATATGAATCAAGGTATATATGTAAACAATGAAAAAAGGGCATCCATTTGAATTTTAGCTCGGTGATAAAGTATTATTTTTTCAAAAATTAGATTCTTTTGAAAGTAATACATCTACATGTGGTTATAATAAATCATTATTCTGGGCAAAAAAAGCAAATATTTTCATCTGACAGTAGATGTCATCTAAAAGAAGAAAGTCTTTGAGAAAGGAGTGTTTTTTAATTATAAGATTTATTATATAAAGTTAAAAGCATACATACTCCAAACCAAGCTTAGTTTTAAAGAAAATACATTTGCTAAAGATGGTAAATGTGTTTGGCGGTTTTAAATGTTTCCTATAATCAAATCAAAATGTTTCTGTGACAGACATTTATAATTCTTTTGAAATGTATTTTAGTGTCTCTATTTTGTTTCTGATATCCATGAACTGTTTTCATACAGTTACAGAGCCAGAGTCAGTTGATTGCATGAGAGCATATTTTGTAGATATGTTTGTAATAATAGTAACAGCAGAGTGTGATCCAAGAACAAAGCACTCCATTAATGTGTGCAATTTTATCCCTGTTTCTTCAAGTAGTTTTAATAAATCTAGTCTTACTGCATGCATTTATTGTTTGCACATCCAGTAAAGCTGTGGCCCACAGGATTTTTGTGTTTTTTAATCCCCCCTATTTTGTTTGTTTTTGTGCAACCTGTTGCGTTCCTAACAATCAGATCGGCGGCGTGATGCCGCTACAAGAACAGAGGATCTGGGTAATGGCAAACCATCAGGTGCTGACGTAGCATCTAGTTATGACTTAGGTATGGGTGGTAGTACTTGTAGGTACTTGACTAATTAACACACTCACGTGACTAATCAAAGCGCATCACTAACCCCAAATTGCATCACTTACCAAATCGCAATTACTATAATCATGTGATGACTAACCAAATCACACGACTAACCCGATAACATGACTAACTGAATCATATGACTAACCAGTCACATCACTGACCAGAATACATTGAATGATTAAACAAATCACAATGACTAACCGTATAACATGACTAATCAATCACATGACTAATTGAATCACATAAACAAAATCACATCCTTAACCAGAGCACATGACTAACCAATCACATGACTCGAGCAATCGCATGGCCAGTCAGATTCACCAGGTCACGCAAACCACATGCAATACATGTCTTAAACATTGTCCTTTTGGTTTGCATGGTCATAGGCAAAGCACATCTTATTTGAAAGCTCATTTGGCTTGCAAAGTTTTGCATTAAAGGGAATTAAGCCTGGTTTAATGTCCTTGATTAGGGTACATTTTTAATTACTCAAAATGAAAGTTGAACAATTTATATTGATCTTCTCTTCAGTACAAATGACTGACTTGCATATCGTGTGCAGTAATGACCCGCTATGTCACAGTGACTTAGTCTTACAGCTGACTATTGGAGAAATGCAACTTACTGCGGCTACTGACTGCTTATTAGAATCATAACATTTAAGTTGACAAGTGACTAATCTAGTTATTCTGTTTGTTGCACAAACTAACCTTTATCAAAATACTCTGTGAAACTTGGTAGGTCTACAAAGCTAATGTATTTCATGTATCAAAACTAGAAGATCATTTATTCATAGTTCTGTAGAACTTTTACATGCAGCTATATTTATCGTGGGGACATTGCTTTGTATTTGCTCTCGCTCAGTATTTGAGAGATGCTTTTTATTCTTATGGGATGTGTGGTAGGCGTTTTGTTGAGGTGAGAAATCGGTTGTGACGAACAATGCGAAAGCCTTGATGTGGGTAATTAAAATTGACTTACACGTGAACAGCAATGCATAATTTCCGTTAATGCATTTTAGGGATGATACACACGCTGTTCATGCAGTAGTGCACATTGTATGCAATGTATGTAAGCAGCAGTAGCACAGCACCTAATGCTTAGTTAGCTTTTAATGTCGACTATACTTTGGTTATACATCGTAACGCCAAAAAATAGCTACAGAGTAGACATACCAAAGCATTTCGTCTTGCCCTCATCTGATGGCAAGAATGAACAGAAAACAAAAATCAGAAAATCTAAGCAGAAGTTAAAGGAACAAGCGCGCAAAAGATTAACAGTCTATGATTACCGGTAACCGTTAATCTTTGTATGCTTATTTCTTTAGCTTCTGCATATATTGTCTGATTCTTGCTTTCTGTTCATTCTTGCATCTTACTCAGATGAGGGCAAGAAGAAAAGCTTTAGTATGTCTGTTTTCTTTGCTATCTTTCCACGATTTTGCAGTACCAATCATATCTTTAATATTCTAATGCATGTACATGTAAGTGGGTATGTTGAAGGGGATGTCAGATAGATTACATTTTGATATGGGAGTGTCGAATCAGAGCGGTAAGACTAATGAAAAATAGATTTGATTTGCTGCATTGAGAAAGAAAACGGGAGGCTGGGCTAGTGCATTTTTTATGTTTAAATGGTTACATTTGAAATTCACATTAGTGTACCCTTGCTAGTTTGTTCAACAGAAGAATATAAAATTAAAATACTTGTTAGGAATTATTCAATTTGAGTGACCCCTGATTATCAGTATAGTACACCCCTCCCCATTTCATGAGAATTAAATTTGTCCCTTTTGCCTTTATTGCACGAAGGTATCGGTATACACATAGACCTGTTACTGTAACAAATAAAAGTGCTTTGGAATCTGATTTAGCTTTTAATGATATTGTCATCGACATTCAGAATCTATATTTATTGGTTCAGATACATGGAATATATACATGTACATTTACTCCAATAATATACATGATGCTCCTGATTAACTTATATAAGATGAAATTACTGATAACGTGGGGGTATGTAACTGAGCTCTGGACATGCTGGCTTAAAATGGTTTTGTCCTTGTAATGGTCTCCTGATAAGTGTGCATACATTATGTTGGTCTTTGAGAGTCAGGGCATTTATCTACATGTAGAAACCATGTGGTTGTTGTGGGGTATTAGTTTGTTCAGGATTGTGAAAGGTGCTGGTACTATTGATTCTGTAATATAAGCCACACAGGTTGGAAAGCAGCAATTATACTAAATTGTTTTGAGTAATATACAGATTTCCTTGGGGGGGGGGGGGGTACTTGGGGGCTGTATGTGCTATAAATTATATACATTGTGCCCCTATGGCATCCTGTGCTATCAAATGGAATGGAATAGCAGATAGGACATGCATGGTCTCTGTTATCATGCAGAATTGTATTTTCATGCAGTCACATCTTACAGCTCATACCATGCAAAAAAGATTGCCTTCTTGATGATAACACTGAGTCCCATATGTTGAATTTTAGGGTTTAAAGTCAATGAATGGGTTAATATAGTTGACTAGATCCCAGAAGAAGAGGGATGTGTAGAAATTTTCACATTTTGGTGATGACAAATTTGCCATAGTGGCATTTTTCTGGGCTTTCACTTCATCAAGAGTATAGTGTTAGGAGTTGCGAGTGGGCTTTAGGTTAGGTTTAAGGAAAGCTAGATGCAAAGAAATGTGAAATATACCTCATATACATGTATACATTGAGTCAATGCTTACTTGATATGCTATTTTGATAGATACACCTAGATTGCTGTTACTATCAGTAATGTGTTTTAACTAAGTTGAAAAAGTTTATGCAATTGGCAAACTCTTTTGTAAAATATAACCTTTGTATCAAGCTAATACAAATACTCTTTCATCTCATTTAAAGTTAAATGACATATATTCACATATAGACACTCTTAACTTTGTATAATCTGTCTAAAATCCTTATATTGAATCTACTCTTACTTGAATTTCTCTTACTTTTCACCAACTCAGTTAATGTTTATTGTCTCTATTCCCCCCCCCCCCCACTCTATCTCTGTCTCTGTCTCTCTTTCTGTAACTATCACTGTCAATCTGTCTATCTGCCTCTGCTATTTTCTCTGTCTCTGTGTCTCTTTCGTTAATTATCACTGTCACTCTGTCTCTTTGCCTCTATTATTGTCTCTCCTTCTCCCTCCCTCTCTCTTTCTTTCTCTTTCTCACCCCCCTCTCTCTCTCTCTCTCTCTCTCTCTCTCTATCTCTCTCTCTCTCTCTCTCTCTCCTTTCTCTAACAGTATTATCTCTCCTTCAGTGAATGCACGCCACTCTATAAAGTGTAGCAACCAATTTGCAAATCTGACAATCTTATGTACTTCTTAGCTCGTCAAGCAATGTATCTGAGGTTTGGCTTCTTAACCATTCCAGTGATGTAGGCAGTTTTTAAACCATTCAAATTTTGATTACCTGGATACTGAACGTCTTAAATTTCATCAAATAAATGGAATTGGAATTTTAAATGGCTTTATGTTTGATGAATAATACATGATGGAATAATTCTTTTGTCAAGATGAAAAATGAAGAAAAAATCACTATGATTTTAAGATGTAGTCTCACAAGTCCTATTTATTACATATTCTTGTGCTGTTGGTAGAACTGAAGGGGTTAAAGCTAGTGACATCCTTTGTACTGACCCCGAAAAGCAACAAAACGAAACAATCTCACTTTCTCTCTAACTTCCACCTTGTATTACCTCGAACACTAATAATCACAAGAAATCAACTGGAGGGCTATTTCAATACCTCTGTGAATTGGGTCAAGAAATTATGTTCTGATTAATACGAAAGGTCTTATTGTTCAGATGGTGATGCGTAAAGCTATTTCACCCCCACAATTGCAGATCGTATAGAAATGGTTTACAAAAATATTTCCAGGTAGGTCTTTCAAGAAGTAGATCAAACAGGTACAGACTGAAAAACTTCAGCATTCTCTTTAGAGTGTGTTATAGAAATGTATTAAATTATATGTCAATATCCCAGAAGATCACTTTGTATTTTTAAGGAGAATATTGCTCCCTGGGAAAGGTGAAAAACAATTTGAGAGCTATTTCATTTATTTTAAATGTAAAGTGTAGAAGAATATCATTTAAGAAGTGAAGAAGAGTCGTGGCAGAATCCCTTTGAACCATTCCTTTCATTTTGATTTAAGATATCTTTTCAATTGGATCAAGTAGACTCCTCTTACCAAAGCCTAATGATAAATGCATTACTTTAATTTAGTTTGATACTTGTTTCCTAACTTGAAATGACATGTTTTCTTTTCCAATGACTTGGGGCAGATCAAAACTAATCTAAAACCTCCCAATCGAGGTCACGTGAATGTCACCCAATACAAATTTCCAATATGTTTGAAAGGAGTGTTCTTAGGTTTAGTCATCAATACATCACAGTGATGTAGTCCATAGATGAGGCCCCATCATGAAAGAAAACACCCTGGCTCTGCATCTGCACATCAAATCTACATTACCTCCATCCAATCCAAGGTTGTTTAGATGGCACCTAAAACATGAATTGCAAATTGGGCTTAAACTGCCGTTTATCTTGGCTTAGTCATCAATGTGTTTCGTTCATGTAACGTATACATGGGTCCTTCCATGTAATACAGCACTTTTCCTTTGCAAAGATGGTTAGGGTAAATGAGCACATTGAGTCTGTTTTACTGGGATGTGTTGAAGGTTGATTCAATTCTACCTAGCATGCATTTTGAAAAGGTTTAAACAAGAGCTAAGACCCCTGGTATTAGTCATCGAAAGGCCCAGATATGTCACAGAGGTGCAGCTATGTAGGTAGGAATGTGCCCCCCCCCCACCAAATACTTTTTTTTAAAAGCAATTTTATTTCCTCTTTAAAACCATTTTACAAATATATACATATGAATAATAGTGGCCGGATTATGAGATGCAGTAATCGGCTTATTG